TAAAGCGTTTGTACGCGGCACCCATGCGTCCGCGGGGGATGAAATTAAAATGGGAGGGTCGAGCATGATATAGGCATACATAATCAAAGTCTCAGCCTTCTAGCATTTCTGGTTCTCGAGTTGAAAGTGGGTGACAAAAAGTGCGAACACACAGACACACAACACACGCACACACAGACAACCTATTCCCAATATGCGTTATTGCAATTTACATATATGCAACCCAGGCTGGAACGCACCGGGCGAACCCGTGCGATCATGCAAACTCAGGTCATCAACTGCATAAATGGTTGTTGCTTTACATCTACCTTTTGCGACCACTAGCATAAATTATCATAAGTTTTGCATAAAGTGGATGTACAATTTCCATTTAACGATTGTTCTTTAAAAGTAACCTAGTTGCTCAGCCAGATATTCAGCGAAAATTTTAAGTGCCCGTACGTAAGAACCACACGTAACTCAAGGCTGGATTTGAAATACTTAAGTTGTACTTGGACATTCCCCTAAAGTTTCAGCCTTCCAACTTTTCTAGTTGCCGAGTCAGTAATTTTCCCGCAGGAACTTTCATAAGTCCTTAGTAAGTATCACGCATAGCTCGGGGCTGAATTTGAAATATTTGAGTTGTACTCGGAAAGGGAATATTCTCCCAAAATTTCAGCCTTCCAGCTTTTCTGGATACCGAGTTAGCAATTTTTCCACCAAAAATTTAACATGCCCGTACGTGAATACCCTACGTACCTGGGAAGCTGGATTTGAAATTTTTAAATTGCACTGGACAGGGAACATCACCCTGAAATTTCAGCCTTCCAGCTCTTCTGGTTGCCGAGTTAGTAATTTTCCTGCAGAAACTTTCATACGCCCTTACGTGAATACCACGCATAGCTAGAGTCTGAATTTGAAATATTTGAGTTATACTTCGATAGGAAACATTCCTCCAAAATTTCAGCTTTCTAGCTTTTCTGGTGCCCGGGTTAGCAATTTTCTCCCCTAAAACTTTCAAACGTCCTTGCGTGAGTACAACGCATACCTGGAAGCTGAATTTGAAACCTTTAGCTAGTACATACACAGAGAATATCCCCACAAAGTTTCAGCCCCTTAGCTCTTGTGGTTCCCGAGATCGCTTTCCCTCCAAAAAATTTGCATATTTTTTAAAACGTCCGTACG